CATTGAGCAATAATGTGATGTGTTTGTTCTTCCCATGTCACAAATAAACCACAACAATATCCCTTCCTATACAAGTAATTTAAATATTAATTATTTCAAACAAAAAAAATCGCAGGGTATTAAATGAGTACTGGAATATCTATGCGCATACCTTACTAGTGCAATATCTAAACTAATTTGACTTAATTATTCTAAATTACCATGAAGGTAGTAGTGTATAGCCCAAAGGATAAAGAGAATTGGCGTACAGTTGTCTAATTATTGGATCTTTCCGAAAACAATCCATATTTTTTAAAATACATATTTCTAAATAAATGCTCATATTCACTGAGTTACATTTGGCTTCAACTACAGTTCGAATTACAAATAATCTCTCAGAACACAATACTGCTCCTCTTCACATACTTTCAAGTTGAGAAGTTTTGGGTCGCCAGTTCTCTCGTCTCCAAAGCAATGACACGTCTCCTGGGAACAGATTTCTTCCCTTCCTGAAGACGTGAGACACGGAATTTGACTAACTTGGACGGCATATGCACGTAATGATTTAAAACGTGCTGAAAATATTACTAAGTTGAGAACTACGGACACGATTTTTTTATGTTTTTATAGTTTCTTTTTTTGTTTTTTTTTCCTTCTTTTTTTATTTGCCCATAATACAACTAACTTACAAGATAACACGTAAACTATACAATATTTTTAAAACTATTTATTTTATTTTTATACATTAACTTTAATATTCTTGAGTTAAGTCTTTCAATATCCTTTAACCTATCCCACTGCCATGAATAGTATATTTTCACCGCTGAACACTAAGTAGTGGAAGCAACGACATGTTGCTCTGACTTTCTGTGCATTGCTCACGGACGAAAACGTGCACGAAAATCAGAGTTGCCGCCGCTTCAAAGACCACCAACAGACGGTATTAGAAATGTGTCACCGCCGCTGATGAATCTTTTTTTATTAAACTAAAATATTGGATACTGTAGTGGTCTTGTGTCAGTGTTGGACACAGCCGTCCAGTTTGATATGGAATCAAAATACTGTAGATCGTTTTCGACTTAACGTTCTCAAATGTCTGTTGTTACCAATACATCACAAATGAAATAATGAACGCCAGATATCATGTTTATGATTGTTGGTTTTCGGGTTGATGGACCATGGTCCATTGGAAAGTACGTTTTCTGACATTTGGCCGCAAAAATTGACATCTTGAATGGTAGCAATTTAGTCAGCAGGACGTTGATGGCTGGTGACCCGGCTCGGGGCTTAGAAAAACGGAAATAGGATAATAATTTTCTGACATTATAACTGACGTACATTTTTGCAAGTGCTTCCTGGTTTTCAATTTTGCAGTATCAATATAAAATACCTTTAAGACATGTTCCATTTCAACTGCTTTTAGGGGCAGAATGAAAGAGAAGCACGCAGATAACTTTAATTCCACTTCCACGCATTTCGTACTTCTATTCTAAAATCTAGCACTGAAGATTCATAATCAGATTCTTTAATATTATTAAAGACTCTTTGATCATTTCAAATTGAGTACCGCGACAAAAACTTGTACATTAATTCAATTTCACGACACATTCACGCTCGTGGTATTTAATGTGAATACAATTTACAGAGTTCCGTTTAAGTTTTAAAACTTCTTAAATTGTTTCAAAAACTTCTCATTCGTTAAGACAGCAAAATTTTTTTTTTTAATCCTTTTTGAAATATTGTTTTCTAACGTTACTTAAACATTGCTGAATTGAAGATAATGGAATATGCTAGAAATTTGAAACAAAATATTACGTATTTAATTTTAGATCATTCAGACATTTTACGTAATATATTATCTAATACTTTTCTCGTGAATGCACTTAAGGGATCTTCAGTGTCAAGGAATATGTCCGCTCTTGGCGGTAGGTGTATGATGCCCCTTCATGTACAACAGAATACAAAGAGAGTTAAGTCCCTCAACGCTCAATTTGAAGCAATTATTAAGATTTAAGAAATGAACGGACGTTATTTGTATTAAATAACTTATTATTTAATTAAAAAGTTTTTTATGTGTTTGTAAATATATTTGTAGCATACGAAAGGAATTAAACGCAAAATATGATTTTTTTCCATCGCTTCACATAAAAGGTGACATTCCATTTTCAATCTCTTTGTGAACTGTTTTAGACATGAGAATTTATCTTATAACTAAATACAAATTAATTTATCTATAACTATGAGACTCTATCCTCGAGATCTTATGTAAAACAACAATGGTAGATACAGCGTCCAGGAAATAGCGAGCCAATGTAGGGTAGTATATTTGAGTTTAAAATTGTTTTCGAAACAAAAGCTAATAAGCATGAATCGTATTACTCAAAGGATTCTAAAATACGTCCTTCAAAACTCTCAAATTGTTTTCATTTGTGTCTCTAATGGGATTTCGTTACCATTGTTGTTTTATATTTCCCCTAAAAGCACGCATGAAAAAGAGGAATGACACTTGAGGCAAACTACTGCATTCTTCACAAAACCTTTTGCATTTTTTCCCGACTTCTCCTGCTACACGTGATTTATGAAGCATGGATAATAGCACCATACAGTCTGACGATGTGTCATAACGTCATGAATAAAACAACTGAACTTCAATTTTGAAATTATTTTTCATAATTATCGTTCGTGAAATTTCTCTCCAAAACCTTAACAATTTATGTAGAATTTTGAACTCTATTCCAAAACGTGCTTTTAAGAGGCTGTGCTCCCCACCCCTAGCACAGCCTTGGCTTGCCCCAACCAAATCACAAGCCGCCCCGATTTTGATGAAATTTAGTATATCATTAATTTTTAATCTTTCAATTGAGAACAAATGGTAGATATGAGTAAAAAGTACATTTTCTCAATGGATCTAATTTTTCAAGTACTTTTCTGTTAATTTAGGATACTGATGGCAAGTAAGAAATAGGGCAAGGGTGTTGAGATTATAAAATCGTGAGTGAAATTAAACTAATAAATGGAAGAATATTTTAAAAAAGCCTTTAGGAATACATTTGGAGTTTTTCGGGTTAGTTAGAATTTACAAGAAATATACAATTTATTGCATAGTTCTACGTATTTGCTCTCAAAATTTCGAAGTCATTATTATAATGAATTTCATTGCTATAATTTCTTGAAAGCAATTAAATTAGGAAAAATTTGTTTTGAGAAATTAACCTTTAAGAAGAAAGAATTTGAAAAAAGTTTTATTTCGTAATCGAAAATGCAGTTGAGTTGATTCAAATGTAATTGAATTAGTGTTGTGTAATTGAATGGATTCAATTTTCCTCCATTACACGTAGTAAAATGAGGTAGAATTTGATAAAACCATTTTGACTCTTGACTGTTTTCATGAATATCCCACCAACGGGAAAACTAAGTCCTATAAAACTCAATACTTACGTCTAATTGGTCATTTAAGTTCTAACTTAATTAATGTTTAAAACTAAATGGAAAGGTTTGTCAACTGTCCCGTACTTGTGGAAGCAGCGACATACTCGACTCCTTTTTCCTCGCAATTGCTTGGAGTAAAGGCGGATGCCGTTGCTTCACAGTTCACTGCCCACCCTAATCATCAGTTAAAGCAGGCAGTAGAGCTGTTTTAATGAAAGATGAGAAGAGAAGTGCGGCACAAGAAGGAAAATAAGGCCACACGAAGCTTTACAACTAATGTTAATATCTTACGTGCACCCCCCACTTTTGATTCGCGGAGGAAATAATTTCTAGAAATGTGAATTCATATCTGTAACTATTACTATCTTAAAACGAATTAATAATTAAAACTTTATTTTATTCTTAAAGTGAGAATAATCCTGAAAAATATTAGGAACTTTCAATAAGTGATCAGCTCGCCAAACAAAAGTATTCCATTTTGAATTGACACCAAACCATTTAATTTCGTTTACAGTTTTTCAATGAAAAAGCGAGTTTATTGTAGAGCCTTAGAGACTTTCCCAACCAGGAACATATCCCAATATTTTTAGAAGAAGCCGACGTTTGCACGAAGAGTCTGAAATCGAAATTTAAAAATTGGCTCCAAATTCTAATAGGGGCACACTGAATCACACTGTATTCTACTACACCGGTATACTTAATTATAGTAATAAGAAGTAAAAGTCGTAATAATAATAATAATAATAATAATAATAATAATAATAATAATAATAATAATAATAATGTTAGTAATAATAATAATAGTAATAGTGGTAGTAATAATAATAGGATTAGTTGGAATTCCAATGAAAACAGACACGAAACAAATCGCGTCCATTTCGCATCAGATGTGAGATATTACGAGTAGATGAGAGCTTAAGGTACGAAAGACGTGAGAGTGTACCTACGACAAAGGGAAGCTTACAACTAATTAAAGACGCTGGATATCGTCACCCGCGACGGTTGACTGTTGCTTTCTTTGCCCTGAGGACGAACCTGGGTACAGTGGCAGGTGGTGGCCACTAGCCGCGGGCCCCGCCCCTCCCGCAGCTTGCGCTTAGCGCAGCCCGATACGCCAGAGCATTCAGTGCTGCAGATAAGTACTACATATCGCAGTGATTGAGGAATGGGATTCCTCTAAACTGAACGAAGATATGCGCATAGAAAATTTCATTTTTACACATAAAATTTGACTGTTACTGCTTGTAAGGGATTGCTTGCTTCGAATTATGTCCTAATTCGAAAGAGATCTAATGTTCAAAAGTGAATTTCCTTCCTTTAAAAATGTGAATGTAGATATTTTTAATATTTTTATTATTATTTCATATTCTTATATCGAACACCAGTAAATGCCGTTTTTCGTTATTTTAATTTCCTATAATTTATTGTACAGATTTTACTAAATTGGGGTTTTGTTAATTTGATTTAATCGTCTTTTTAATTTCCTGTAATCTCTTTGCTTGCAATCTTCACGAATACTTTTTTTAATTTTTTTTATTGTTTTCATTTGAGGATATTCGTGTGGGCTAGTTTCTAACTACACTATCAGCTTTTCCGATATAGTGTTTTGGTGGCAGTTCGTAGATCGAAGTTTACTAGGGTTTTTTTTTTTTTCGGAAAAGCAGAAAATGCGCAGTTGCTTTGTTCGGCTATCGGTGGGATGGAAATCAGGTTTGCTCAACTCAAAGAGGCTGGCTACCCTCAAATGTTTTGTAACTCAAATTATGGGCTAATATTAAATATTTAGATAATGATTTATATTGTTTTATGAATTATCATATATTTTTCAAATTACATGTTAATTATAAAAATGATTTAAACATATATTTTCTCGTTAAACGTTTAATGCATTTCAGGAGAATTTTGGGATTAAAATGGAGCCAGTAATCGTTTAAGTTGTGCAATCCTGATGTAGACAATGTGAATTGGTCAAGACAGTATTGGTGCTGGCTGACTCGTGAATTCGTTCTTTCCAAGTTCTTACACGTAAATGATGAAAACAATTACTTTACATACATTAATAAGCCACTGCTCGTGCAGATGCTACTGCTAATGATGGAGTATTGTTCCAAGTCCAATTGTGAAATCGTCACCTGTAAAAATGAAAAGAAAACACTTTTTAGATAGTTGAAACTTTACTAATGTATTCCAGAAAATCACGTGTTGCTGAAAGGACTTGCTTCATCGTTAGTGTAACTGAATACAGTAAAGTGCCTTACATCTCTTTTACAGATTGGAATTAATGAAAGTACATACTACTTTAAATATACACATAATAATAATAATAATAATAATAATAATAATAATAATAATAATAATAATAATCTTATTAGTTTTCTTTCCTTAAAAATTCAAATAATTGATTTGCAAATTTATATAACTAATTTCCAATTCTCACAGAAATTGAAAGAAAATTACGCAGCTTTTGAGAAGTATCCATGGTTTTGCTAGATACCCAGAAACACGGGGAAAACAAAAATAAGCAGTTTCGATTTCCGAGGAAAAATGCAAATAATTGATTATGTCACTCCGTCTATTCTCATATTGCGCGTGTCGACTGCACTTCATACATAGAGCGTTACTGCTTACGACACAGCTGACTACATGTGACTGTAAGGTGACAAGCAAGTAGCACTCGCCATTAAATATTTATAACTCACGTGTTGCGTTATGGAACAGAACTTTATTGATATTCCCAGTCTGTGAAGAGCTGTTGTATTGTATATAATATGCTGCACTATATCACTGATGTTTTTGTAAAGTCTGTTTCTGTTAAAATATTTAATGTATCGCACTGTTATATAAGAGTATTTTATTTGTATTTGAATAGTGTGCGACTTGCCGTTTGCAAAACCCTTCTATGTAGTTTAGATCAGCAGCATTTTTACTTCTGCACAACAGTAGTTTTCAACTATTAATTCTTAAAATAAAAAAATGCCTAGTATTTTTGATACCGATGCGTCAGTTCACACAAACACACTCAAACTCGTCGGTCTAGCCATCTTTACGGGCCTAATAAACTGTTTTAATTTTATTCCGAAATTACTCTTTATTTCATAGACCGAAACATACATAAACATTTTCCTTGTTCTGCCATGAAGTATAAAGTAAAATCTGTTAAAATGTTCTGGAGATAACAAAATGCAACAAATAACAAAACTGATCCATGATTTGAATTATATTTCAGTGTTTCTGGAATTTTAACGTTTGCCAAGTAAGAGTGCGGATTATTATTATTATTATTATTATTATTATTATTATTATTATTATTATTATTATTAATAATATTGTTATTATTATTAATATTATTATTATTTATTTTTTATTGTTATTACATATTCAATACAGAAATAAAAATCTCCTTTAATATTTTTAAAGTTTCGTGAGCGAGATGTGAGTCTAAATTTCAAGATCTCTGATTTAAAATATGAAAGTGTGCCTGTGTAAACGACCCAGATAAATTCCTTGCGCTACTGTTATATACCACTGACTCAATTTGTCTCGTTCATATTTTGTAACCACGTGCTAGCAACTAAAACATGGACACGTTACAGCGCACACTGTAACAGTAATGTTTACGAATGAGGTTCGAACAGAAGTTGATAGTTCTCATGATCTTATTTTGAAATAACGCGCATTGAAATATTAATGAGCATATAGTACCCCAATTAGAATTCAAGATTTCAATGCCACGTACTTATGATTATCAAAAATTCGCAATTTTCTCATTTTCTTCTATTTCAAATTCCGCCCTGGTTCATTAAGCTACTCACGCTCGTTTTACCGAAATCCTTTTTCATAATAACGTGCGAAATATTTTAAAATGAACGTTGCCAGTAGCATAATGAGACCACTCATCTAACTCGACAATGATTCATTAGCCGCACGTTCCAACGTGATCGAACTACTCGGACTGGCAATCCACATTGATCCATTAAGTATCCAAAAGAGGTAGAAATCAAACCATGATGTATTTCCTTTCATTTAATTCGACTGTTATAGTAGACTGTTAGAGAAATCACAATGACACCTGAAGCATTCGCAATAGACGTTCTTATTGTGAACACTCGAAGAGTCACACGATTAATCGTAAGACTTCAGTAAACGTAACTTACTTAACCGACTAGATACGTCATCCAGCAAACATCTGGAGATGTTAGTAAGCTCTAATGATGTGTGATATCGACAGTTATGTCTAGTACTTCATTTATGGTCATTATTGTGTTAATGACTATGTATTAAAATACGAGAAAACTCAGTGGTAAATTTTATCCATGTGCATGATTGAGAAAATATCTAACATAAAATTATATTCTGTGAAATTTATACTTTCATTTCATTTATTTATTAGTTTTAATAATTGATAAAATTGATTTTCTGTTAAAATATGGAATCCGTTCACGATAAAGAATCCCGTTGAGATATTCAAAAGACTAACGAAACTTGTGCTTTGGAGGCTCATGAAAAACTGGAATATTTATTAAAAGAAGTAAAGCAAGCAATGGGTCCGAGTAATCAAGAAAATGGTATAACCAGACTAGCAATGGGTTGGATGCCGCCATACCGCAATAAAACCTTCAGAACGATGAGTATTCAACAGCGCACAAGCGTCACAATCGCTGCCTGCTGTATTCAAAACTTTTCGTTCCCCTCGTTAGATATTGAGTCACTCTATTGTGAGAACTTCTCGTGTTGTACAGTGCAAAAACTACAGAAGAGGAGCAAAATCACTTGTCAGTCAATATTTTCTTCAGGCCAGCTAGTTTGATATAACGTAACAAGATTAATTAATTGATTATTTTGGTTTTCCGAGAGCATTACTTGTTTGGTCGTTAGTCTCGTGGAAGTAATGCACGTTAGAGCCCGGAAAATGGTGGAGTTCCCCGGCGTCGACCTACATGTCGGCTTGCGAGGTTTTCCCCTCGAAGTATCTTTGCAAATGGGGAACTTACAGTAGTCTAATGGCTATAAAGAATAATGGCTAATTGGCAAACATTTTATAAACTCCAAAAGGGCGTAAAAGCATAACGAAGCATGTCGGGAGCAACCGCCAGTTACATGTATAACTTCATTTTGTGAATAAGAAAATTCTGAACGAGGTCTACCCGCTTAACAACGGCTATGGCTTTCGTAATGCATTTCCATAGGCAAATTGAGGAGCGTTCATGCAAATAACATGTCTATACATATTTTTCAGAAAGAGAGGAAAACTGATTTTTGACAAGTTACCACCTTTACAAACAATGTAATATGCTGTACTGCTAATCAGTATAGTTACAGTAAGCTACGTATACTGCTATCAAATCAGTTATTTATAATTATGACGATATCTCAGGTTGGGTCGGTTAAAAGTTGGAGATGTTTGCTTGGAAAATTAGTCATGTCTACTTTTGCTAGGAAATTTTGGATATGTTTGCTTTGCTTTTCTCCTAAATGTTCGGTTTATGAATTAATCTCCTAAAAAAGGTTAAGTTGCGACTCTATGCAATATACAAAGCATACACAGGCTATCCGGCTTGGAATGTCGACTATGAAAACCTACATACTTGGGTAGAGCAAATCACATGCACAAAATTACGACAATACAGAAATACAGACAATAGAGAAAACGGACGTTGGGAAATTTTCATTCACAAACGAAAAAATCAGTGACTGGAAAAGTTTGCCTGCGACAATCTTTGAACCCTTTCCTCAAAGCTTGAGAAAATAAAAAGTTCTAGATATTTATCTATATTTTAGGTCAATGTATTACGGTTAGGTTACGGCAGCAGCGACGGTGTAACGGTTAGCGTATCGGTCTGTTGAACCGCGTGTTCAAACCCGGTCGAAACCGTGGATTCTTGAGGGCAAAAAAATCCTACGTACGCCTTTTTCGCAGGAGAAGTAGAGCTGGCTGTCCCATGTTAGTAGATTTACTTGCATGTAAAAGATCCTCAAGCCTAAAGAAAGCAGCTGAGCTTGATTCAAATGGCTTGTTTCGTCGCCCATGAAATACCTTTCTTGTGGGTGAAAGGAGCGTAGCGAAATTTGTGTGGTCAGACGGAAGACTGTAAATCTCGACACGTAAAATAAGGCAATTCAATTCAAAGTTTCTTCGATTAAATTAGTATTTTCTAATAAGTACGTTTGAGTAATTCTTTTTAATTCAATTAGTAGCAGTTATTATTATTATTATTATTATTATTATTATTATTATTATTATTATTATTATTATTATTATTATTTTATTACTATTTGTGTCGTACAGTGCAGTGTTGTGTTATGAAGTGGAGAGAAAGAAATGCGGAAGGAATGCATTACAGTTAAGTGTACTGCACTGCAGTGCAGTGAAGTGATGTAATGTGTAGTAATGCTTGCAAGGTGAAATTTTATACTATTTATTATTAATTATTGTATTTAATTAACTTCTCTCTTTAATTTATTGTTATTGTAAAGGCATATTGTAAAGGATTTATATGAATGATGCAATGAGTGACACGTTATATTGGTCAACATAAATCGATTTTTAGCAATAATTATCTACTTCAAAATACCTTCCAAAAACATGACTGGCTTGCAAACCCATAGATAAATAAGGTCGCACTCGTGACGCTACAGTGATCCACACCTCTTTCCCCGAGACAATGGGTAATTTCAGCTTCAGGTGTAAGGTGACATCTTTAAACTCCACTGATCCCGTACATAACGACCTACGACCTGCTCGTAAGGAACAACGTTCAAATGAGTAGACAATTGGTGAGACATTTGAACTACGGTACGTGTCAAGATAATACTTCTTAAAGCAAGAAATTTTAGATTTTCTGGGCCTGCGCAATGACTACCCAGTCTGAAATTTTCAATTGGCCTTAATTTTTTTTTATAACATATGAGCTAAGACATAACCAAACACGAAGGTAAGATTTCAACTTCTTTTCACGATTATTTTCCCTCTCACCTTTCCGCCATTTTATGTTAATTTTAGAGTTAGGATAATGGCAAGGATTCACATACAAAAATCAGTTTTCCAGAATTAGAAAACACAAACACTCCTGTTTATATTCGGCCATGTTGCCCTTTGTAAAGTAGACACTGTTACGTAGTGTACTATTTATGA